TTTATGATCATAATGAGTATTGTCATAATTGCACAGCACTTATTTTCAACACTTTCAACTTATTTATTAATTTTTAAGATTATTATTCAAGTCAGCTTTCACTCATATGACTCAGCTTCATGAAGTGAAATACATTAAATGGAAATAGTGGGGAAAAAACAATTAGAAGACTTGAACCATCTTCTGCAACTATTGCTATCATGGTTATAAGACAAAATGATCTTGAAAGGCCTATTCTAAAGCAAGAGACTATATAGTCTAGGGCAGGGTTTCTTAAACATTTTCAGTCGCGACACCTTTTTATCACTGAGATTTTTCCGCGACCCCAGGACCCCATAAGCATTGCGCAAATCTGGCATACACGTGAATGACACTGTCAATTTTTTCACTTGTACTGTAATATACTATTGCAGTTTTAGGTCATTAACTTTAATTACTAATTTCAGACATAGAACAAACAATGTGAAAATTTTAAATAAGTAACAGACAAAATGAGTGTCACGTGCAAAGCAAGTAAAATGAACATTTTCATGCACTGAAACGTTTTCATTTTTTTTCTTTGCCCACATTGTCTTACCTTTATCTATTTTCAGATATATTGTGTAAAAATATTTGGTAATTGTAAAATTATTATAATAAGTTAAAGAAATATCACAACTGCTAAAGGTTTGGACGACCCACAGTTTAAAAAATGCTGTTCTAAAGTATTTTTTCAATTAATTCTACGTTAGAGTGACAAAAAAAAAAAATAGCAGTTAGCAATAAGACTTTTTAGAAACAAATTTCCTATCAAGAATTTCAAAACATGCTGGTTTAAAGTAGAAAGATGTTATTACTTCAACATTATATGATTTTTACTTTACATTGATTAAGTTTTATTATTTGAAGAATAACTCTTCATGAAAACTATATAATACCTTGTAATTGATAGTTTCATCATTAATATGCACTCATTGCCATAAATTTTACACACGAAGGAGTCAAAATTGAATGAGACTTTACATATGAATACAACATTCATAGAAGTGAATGATTACTACAATATCAAAGCATAAGTATTATTAATTACAGCAAAATAGTGATAGTGTGAGAATTCATGATGCGATACGAGAAGCATCAAGTCGTCTTATTCCACAGTTGCTGTAAGTATGCCTCTAGTTCAACCAACCTCCTAAGTTTCCCATCTGAAGTGATTCCAGATATGGACAAATCTGGAGACCAATAAAGGGTGGTAATGTGGTAGAAGCATCTCTGTGTTATTCCTGCTCTATGTATGCGGTATATTGAGAACAATCAAATATCATAATTGGACTTCAAGCTGGCACAGTGCCAAGCATCGAAGCGCGAGCAGTAATAAGTAAAGGACTGGAATTTGAGTAGCTGTAATTATGAAGTAGTTGTAGATATAAGTGTGTATGCAAGTGATGATATATTTTGTATATATAATAAAAGTAGCATGTAGTTTAAAAGAGTGTATCTTGTAAAATAATTACCCACTAAAGGATACACGACAATGTAGCTAATCACTATCCTGTGAAAAATATCTTCTAAGAGCCCTACCATGAATGGCAACACATTTGGCTTGAAAACTGGGGATAGTCTGAAGGTCTTGCACCCCTTCTTCCCCTACCACCAACCTCTCAAGAGAACTTTCAGCATGCCATGTATTTGAGTGGCCCCCTTGCCACACAGACACTACGTTTACAAACACCATGCCTTCTCCAGAATTAGAACCTGGACCCATCAGTATGGCAGTCAGCATCAACAGCCAATATTTCTCATAAACAATATTAGAAGTCAAAACAATATTAGAAGTGATCACGCATCATCTGCAATAGCACCCCATACCATCAGACCAGTTATGGGAGCAGCTGCTGTAAAGGGAAGGCAGAAATTAGGCATTCCACAACTATTGTGCAGTTGTCATATTACCCCTAACTGAATCTCGATTCCTCACTGAAGATGACCTGGTCCCTTTGGTTGCAGTCCAATCCCATTAAGTATAACATTACTCCTTATGGAGGCAACAGTGAGTGGGTGTCATTGACAACATATGTAATGAACATCACAATATATATCCATCAGCCAGGCACCTCGAGATTCTATGGGCAAACATAGAGGCTATATTAAAAGAGCATTTTGCATCTATGTGACAGACAATGATGCAGTTGGTGCTTTGTGTGTGTTTCAGGATCTTCCCGATTCTGGATTAGGGATTTATCTGGCTAATTAAACATATTTCTAGAATTTCCCTGTTCATGTTTTGCTATGCCATTTTTAAAACCTGCAGTGCAGAAATAAGTTAGTTGTGTTTTTTGATCTTATTGTTGATTCATCATATTCTGTTGTAAGGTATAGGTGTATGCAATTTCATCTCATTCAGATTACTCCTTTTTGGTGTATAGCTTTTTTATGCTATAGAGGGTATTTTATTTCAGGCTATGGGAACAAACACATTTAAATAATTGAGTTTACAAATTAAATATTTTTTATTCTGCCAAATGGCAATAGTCTGGTGCATTGGAGTTAAAAATATGTTTCATTTTGAGCAATATTGTCAATGCTCAATTTCAAATCTCTGAGTGTGTTAATCAAAAATTTACACATGCACACACACGAAAAAAAGAAAGAAATTCTGGCTTTGAGGTACACTTGTTTGGATGCATGACTATATATGTTCAAAATTTGGCCATTCTATGTGCCATTTTTCTGCAGAACATGCAGATTCTTTATTATTTAACAGTAGAAATCATAATCAGATTGGCTCACAGCTAAATAATGAGATTTTCAATATTTAACAAAAACCAAAACTTAGAAGAAAAATGCTTTTTATTTTTACATTTAAAATGTTTCTTGGGTCAAAACATTTTAGAGACAATAATGAAAGAATAATAATTACTGCTTTTTTAAAAAATAATGTGTCATTCTCTGCCATCTGATAAAATAAAACATTCGAACTTAAAATTAGCCTCAAATCCAAATACTTCAAACAATTCCTACTATTTCATGTTTATTTTCTAACTTAAACACTTGATATTTTAATACTTACTTTTTTTTATTCCATCTTTCTTTCTCCCCCCCCTCTTCCATTTGCTGATGTGTAGAAAATTTTGGTTACTTATTTTCTTTTTCAGGACCCCCCTTTTTTTTTTTATTTTTTTATTTTGTTGTTTCTCAAAATTTCATTGAATAAGCACAAATGACAACATTTCTATCTTAAGTAAAAACACAATTAAATAATTTTTCTTCTGAATGTATTATCATTAACAACAAAAAGAATTTTAAACATTTTGAATTATAAAAGTTAAATATTTTATTGCAAAAAAAAGGGGCAAAATTAAAATATTTTAGTTCTAAACAAAAAGGAAATCAATTTTATTTTATATTTGCTCTAAATTTCACTCTATTATAAAAATTTTAAGTTTAATAAATTATTTTTAAATAGAACAGTAAACATAAATTTGTATAAATATAGCATCTTAAAAGTGTTTTTTGACTGTTGTTGTATAATAACTAAGTAAAAACTTTGCAGTTTGATTAAATATAGAAACACCTTCTGTAATATTTTAATCTGAACTCACAGCAGTTTTCTCCTTCACTTTATCTCATTAATTTCTGTGAGTCATGCACATACATTAAAAAGAGGGCTACCAGAGAATCATGAAACTTTGTGATTTAGTACTACTGATATTTTTATAAATTTTAACCTACTGATATTTTTATAAATTTTAACAAGTCTCAATAAATACAGAATTCCAAACAAGCCAGTATCCACAAACTTATTATATAAAATAATTAATTATGCATAATCTATATATATATAAATAAGAAATAGGTATTAGATTTACTTTCTGTAAACAAATCTCTAATTTTTGTAATGTGAAAATATTGTTACCAACTTCAATATTTACTTTTATAAGTTCCATAAACTTGAAGGTAACATCTCACTAGCTGTAATCAAAAATAATAATATTCTAGTAATATAAACTATTTCAATAAGTGCACAGTTAAGTTTTATGTTAGGTAATACAAAAAAGCAGTTCTGAAATATGATGCATAATGAATTACTATACTATATCATTTCACTTTGATAATTTATGTCAATAACAATTAAAATATAATTTGTGATAAATTTATTTTAAATAACAATTAAAATTAAGATTTTAAATACCTACAGTTGAATTTTCAGTAATAATTACATTAGTGATTACTGGAGGCAAAGTGAATCTCATATATCCATTTAAAGAAATCTCGATATAATTATTTATTATCAAATATACTTTCACAAACAGGAATTAAGTAGATAATTAAAATTGCAGGAAATGCATATCCCTGTGATAGTCCAAAATAAATATGTGTTACTGATGATATAGTTAGTTTGACTAACACCATTTAAAGTAAGTGGCAATTTGTAAATAATGAAATGTTAATGATATACAGGTAAGAAATAATTCTTTATAGTGGTTTATACATTTGCACAGGCTGTAGTGTTTCTAAAATGTAATTTTTAAAACCAAGCACTTTACACAGTGTATGAATTACTGTACACAAATTAGATTATTTAGCAAAAATTTAATTTATTTCAGCTCAGAATTATCTATTTTGTACATTAATTCTGATTTAGAGTTTATCTGATAACTGATTTGTATATAATTCTGAAAAACAGCTTTATAGATACACACAGGGGAAAGGAATGTTTATGCATCTTCTTGAGCAAACACGACCTCAGAAATTTTGTACCTCATAGTGAATTAAATGTTGAAAACTGCTCCTAAAAAAAAATTGTGTACAAATACAGAAATAAAATCTGATATGTTTGAGTTGTAGTAATGAATGAAATGCCTCCTCTCACTATTCTTTTACAGAGGAGGAAATAATTATTTTTAAAACTTTTTCATTTGTTTATAAAACAATATCCTTACACATATGTGAATTTTAATTAAAAACTGAACTTACTTAATGATTTTTTTATACATTCATAACTCAAAAGGGGAAAAACGTAAGTCTACAATAAGAAATATTTTAATAGTTAAAAAAATCTACTAACAGGACAATCTGCCAAAGAAAAAAAATTTTCCCTTACATGTTGCACAAAATATATACAGATAATCAAAATACATGTGAGCAAATATTTATACAGAAACTATTTTTTATCAATTAAATGGAGGTGACAAAAACTAAATATTAAAAAATTGCAGTTGACATAACCATAGTGTTTCTCCAAGTTTTTTTTAATATATATATGTATATATATAACCCCCTTTTCTTCTTTTTTAACATGTGGTCCACAAAAATGTATGTGCCAGATTTCAATTTTAATTTCATAAATAAATCACTTTTGATTTTTTAGCTGATTTGAAAGCCAATCCAAACCTTCATACAGCCCATCACCACTGGTTGCACATGTAGCTTGAATATACCAATTGCGATTTCTTAATGAGTGAAGACCTAGTTTGTCAGTTATCTCTGCTGCATTCATAGCATTAGGCAAATCCTTTAAAAAAAATATGCATATGTATTAAAAACTTTAAGAGCAGTAACTGAAATCAGAAAGTTAAAAACTTCATTAATTACAAAATGCAAGTAAACCTCAGAATTTCAAATTAGTTACGTTAACTGCATTATCTATAAAAAAAAAAAAAAAAAAAAAAAAAAAAAAAAAAAAAATGAAATACACATCTAAGTATTCTAAAACATTACTTGATAATTTTAGGCAAAATTAAAAAATCCTCAGAATATTCAAAAACAAGATAGCATATTGATAAATGTCTAAGTTGAAGTATTTAACATAAATGCTTAAACTGACATCATGCTCACAAAAAGTATTATTATAGAAATGTAAAAATACTGGCATATCATAATGCAGGTCATAGCTTCAACATAATACTTAAAAACAGATTATCTGCAGTTCCCCCCTTGTAAATCATGTTAAATTTACATTTAATTTTTTTTTAAATGGAAGTTATACTCAATATTAATGGTTAACTACAGTGCTCATATTTTTCCATCTAAAAAGTATTTCCCTAAACACTATACTATACAATAGAATATACACTGACAAAAAAAAATATTAGCAACTACTACTTAGGCAACTACATTTAAGTCTATTAAAAGCAAATTTATACAAGAATTTCTGGTTTTAATTTTAATTAACTTTCATTGGCCTCCTCCTTTTATATTTTTTAGTAGTACTAACACAAAAGGATATTTATGAGCTGCATTTTTCACTTTCATATTTAAAGAAATAAAAACGATATCATGACTGATAATGTTAGAAAAGGAACAGTTTCATTAACATAATTTTAATATTTTCATAAAGTATATATAAATATTTCAATACTTAAAAACTGATTTGTCTCTTCATATGAATAACAAAACAATCATATTATTTAAAATTTGGATTACAATTACAAATTACTTAAAAATAAGATTTAATAATTGTTCTTTAAAATATTATCACTAAATCATTTTAAATTAATCTGGATTTACAACAAGGTACCACTTTTTGACAAGCTAGATAGTACACTAAATAAAATAAAATACGGCATTTATAATTAATCAAAAAAATATTTTTATCGCAATTTTTCTCATAATATTGCTGATTTAAAATTCTGCATTTAGAAACAGGAGCACATATATATATTATTAAAAAATAATAAATATGGTTAAATAAAAGATTCAGTATATTCATATGCTTAGTAAAATACTGTGTGATCAATAACTAATTACAGAAACATTCATTTTTCCTTTCAGTATGCACCTAGCGTAATTGTGATGACATAGTGTAGAATGAAATACTGAAAACTGACCATGGTAACAGACAGCATTTGCGAAATAAATTTTCATAAACAAATTAAACTTTTTTTTTTTTTTTTTTTAAATATGGAAAAGTAAATAAAAGAAAACTGTAAAAATTAATTTCTTCCTTACTAATGTAACCAATGTCACAGTTTTCCTTTATCTTAGCAGGAAAACAAAAGGAAAGATACAATTGTTAACATAATGTAGGAAGTTTTAGGGCTCTTTGGGATTGAGAGAAGTTCAAAGAAGTATGTGAACTATATTGCAACGTAAGGCTTTTAAAGCTACTCTGGTTAAAGAGGGGAAAACAAGAAACATTTCTTATTCAGTATCTTTGAATTATACAAGCATCTTTAAGGTCAATCCTCAAACAGAAACAACTAACAAAAATTTTAAGAAATCACTGAAAAAGTGCTGAAATTCAAATAATTTTATAACAATATGATTGCATTAGGGACCATTTAAAAAATTACAATCATTTAAAAAATTTTCTGCAGATTCTTCCGTATAATATGCCAATGTAACTATCTAATTATTCAAAAAATAAATATACATATATTATTAGTAATGCTTGTGTAACTTGAAAACCTAAAACCATAAATTAACACTTCAAAACAAGTACTGAAAAACATTCAGACCTCATTGCTAATATTTTGCACAAATGGATTATCACCATAGAAAGCTCCCTCAAATTAAGTGAGAAGTAATTTAAGTAATATAATTTTCTGCCTCTCTTCTTAACATATGATTTGTTAATAAAAATATGCATGTACAAAACTTTACATTATACCTGTTTATTAGCAAATATCAGCAAAACAGCATCTCTCAGCTCATCTTCTGCTAGCATACGCATTAATTCTTCTCGTGCTTCACCAACACGTTCCCTGTCGTTGCTGTCAACCACAAATATAAGACCTTATAAAAAAATAAATTGATTAATAAATCAATAGAAAATATAAGTAAAAACAGAAATAGTATATGTCTGTATAAACAATTAATAATAAATGTAAAGCGAAAATTAAAACAAAAATGCTCTAAATGAAAAAAGTATATATTTTAAAAAATTATAAAATATTCTATTCTCTTTTATTATTCCTTACCTACACTGACCCAAAATTTTGAATACAATATTAAAGTATATTAGTAATAGTTGCAAAATATGATTCGAACATACGGCATCATAAAATACCTATTTTTTAACAAATGACACTAAACACAAATAGGAAACACTAAAAAATATCAGAAAAATCTCCAAAAAGCCATTAAATTTATTAACACGAAACTTCACAATATCATTGAAAAGGTATTAGTTTTGTACTAGAAACACTACTATAAAAATATCTATGATTTTAAAGCATTTTTCTTTTCCCAAAAAACATGTAATCTTGAAAATTTTGTGTCATCAAACTGAATTCACAGCTCAGATTTTAATGAATTTTAAATACAGTCCACTTAATAAATAATTTTTCTTTCAAACATTCATCATTCTGAAAAGCCCACTGTAGTGACAAAGACATTTAAACGACAAATTTGTATTTCCTGCAGTAAAACTTTTTTCTAGGTATTCAATCTTTCAATGTTTCGTCATCAGAAATTAAAAAAATTATGTAACTTGTGACCTAGCACAATGGTTCCCAAACATTTTGACTCATAAAGTGCCTAATCTGTATTACAAGTTAGTAATATTTTGAAGTAGTGTTATAGGAGGAGGAAGAGGGGATAAAAATGATATGTAAGCAAATGACACAATATCCATATAATGAAATTATTTTTAAACTTTTAAGTTTGCCACGATATCTCAGTTTATTCTTCTCATCACCAATACTTATAACAGTACCAAAATTTTGTAGTAAAAAATTTATATCAAACTTTAATAACTCAAACCATTTACATAACATATTACTAGTAAGAGCAACAATAAAAAAAGTCCATAAAATAAGCACAGCTGCTTCAGTTTAATCATTATATACAATTCAGTTAAAATAAGTATTCAATTACTTTTGTTATTCAAAAATCTGCATTATTCACTACAGAAAACAATTTTTATTTAATTTTAACTACACTGCAATTAGAGGTCACTACAGTGTATAAGCCTAAATTAAGACATAGCATAGATAATTTTAATGAGACACTTGTAGTTGCATTTTTTGTAATTTTCTTATTTCAGATTCAAATGACGGTAATAGCTGGCGAATGTTCGTTCTGCGTTGAAGAGGCCTCTGTCTTTTTCTTTGGTACTTGTGTTATTTGAGAATACTGCCTCACAGAGATATGTTATTGAGAAAGGCAGCAATATTAGGTTTGCTTTCTCAGACAAGACCTAATCAATTCAGCCAAAATTCCAATGGATTTTGGTTTTCAAAACATAACTTTTATTTGGCTGGGAGATGTCAAATCAATGAGGACCTTTCATTCTCCTGAGTTTAAGCTAGATGGTTTTTCCTTCGCATTTAACATATTTAATACACATTTCAAACTTATTTAGTACCTTCTCTTGAGCTGATGGAAAATAATCTTCAAACAAGTCTTTCAAAGCTTCAAGATGTGCCTGAATTTTTCTCAGTATTTTTATTGAATCCTGAAATTACCTTCCTTCAAGAAGCTTTTTTTGTACAAAGGAAGCAACTGATATTCTCCTTTCTGTTGCTCTCCAAGCAATAAGTTTCCTCTTAAAAAGAAAAAAAAAAAAAAAAAAAGATGACATTTTAGTATTGCATCAAAAACTGTAGAATCTTTTCTTTGCAATGGTAGATTAATTTCATTCATTTTGCTTAAACTGTTGGCTAAATATGCCACATTGTACACCCAGGTTCCATCATTTAAAATTCTTGCTAGTAGAAGCCGTAGTTCCAACAACAGGAAGTTATGACTGATCTAAAATGCTGCTACCTTTGCACGCAGTCCCATCAAATATGTCAATACTTTTCTTTGAGATAATGACTTAGTTCAATATATAGGAGAAGAAACTCATGGCTGCTTCCCATATCTCAAAACATTAAGTTTAGTGAGGTTGCATTTAGGATGTTCTAATTTTATATTTTTTATTGTTTTTATAGCATCATTTAACACTATCAAAAGCGCAAAAGGCATTCTTCTCAAGGCTAGTATGTAAGTTGAAGAATGCAATGGATGCTGCTGTATTTGCCTTAGTTCTAAATTTAGCAATGGATCCATCATTATGCATATCATTCCTTTGCGCCACGAATGCATGCATCAACATTTGGTGAAAAAAATTCATCCAGAAAATTAAATATTTTACCTCCTAATACATGTGTAGGCTTGCAAAGCAGTCAATTTTACAACTAAGCTTGGTTTCCTTCAAAATAGCTTTGCAATTTAACAACATGGAGCTGCTGATCAACACATTTTTGAAATAGCAGAGGCCTACCATTATTTGTTTTTGTGAACCCCATATTCAAGCAATTTTCTTTAGTCTTTTACTGAGAGATCTTTTCTACACTTTCCCACTCCTACCATGCTTTCTAAACAATGATTAAAGCAGCACTCCTAATTCAGAAATGGTTTCTTTTCTGAAAATCCTTTCTGCCAAACAAATGCTGAAGTGCATTACATGGTTATCTTATTTGTTGCTGTTGCTGTTGGCTCATCTGGCAAAGTAATGGAATAAGTGTCTTTCTTTCGAAACCACTGTCTGAAGCCAGCAATCCATGCCTAAAAGAAAATCATGCCTCAAAAAATTCGAACACTTCACCTATTTTAAAACCAATAAAAAGCTCCTGAATGAATCAATACTTTTCTCATTTTGTCCCAGAAATATATTGCAGTAGTTTAGATTTTGAATGTATAACAACAAAATATAACACATTATTATTAACACATGTTGGGTTTATTTTAATCAACACATTTTGCTTTTATTCATATTTTATTCTATTATTCATATGTAAATTCTCAAATAATATTTATATTATTCTCTTCCGTCTATTAAATCACAATATGTACATGAGAAATGTTTTAAGCAGAATTAAGAATGTACATTTAAGAGACTGAGACAAGAAATTAGACAAAGATTTTGGATTAAGCCAAATTTTACTCTAGCCAATTTTCTTCTAGAGATGGAAGCACTAATGAATCTTTTCTTTGCAATGCTTTCTTAAGCTTTTAGACATTACAAAAAGGAAGGCATTGCAAAAATTTTATCCAGCTATGCAATATGGATATTCTAAATTATAAGCTTTCAATCACTGTTTTTCCATTTGTTACTATGCCAATGGAAATAAATTCTTTTATTGAGCTGCCCAACCGGTATAGTGGTTAGTCTCACTGACTGCTGTGACGAAGGGCCCAAGTTTGATTACCGGAGAAGGCATGAATGTTTGTAAATGTATAGTGTCAGTGCGGCATAGTAGCACTCTACACATGCGGCAAGCCGAAAGTCCTCTCGGGTGGTTTGGTGGAAGGGGAGAGGAGTGGGAGATCCTCGGATCCATCCCCTCAGGGTGCTCTCCATCAAAATTGGGGGTGGAATTGCACTGTCACCTGAGTGGTGCTCAACGCTGTAGCCAACAGCAGGCGTTATCTAGCGCTCCTTGCCACAAGCAATTTATTCCCCTAGCGGTGACTTTGGAACTAATTTGTTTTTTCGCGGAATCCTTCGTCCCCCGTCTTGTTTAATCTTCCTACAAATGTGGCGTCATTCTCGCAAATAGATCACGCTACAGAACACTGTGAGCACTGTCAGTTTAATTATGGCTACCCGGTAAGCAACAACATTATTTAGCACTGCAAATATACAATTACTATATAGATAAATTTGTGGTGATAGAGTTACATATCTTACCATCAGTCACTGAAAAAATTAAATTATGGTAAACTGAACTCTATTTGCTGTAATGTAAAACACTCTTATGTAGATGTTTGATTTCTTTATCTACTCTATTTCTGTTTTCAAAGAAATTTCTGATAATTTTTTAATGAACTTTATTTTAAAGGTCCACAGTACCTCATAGTTAAGTTATTTAAGAATAACTTTTATCAGGGTTACAAACTAAATGAAGGAATATGATAGATATTATAAGCATTACTCAATCACTGGCTTCAAATTCATGGAATATTCATTTGTAAGAATGTCCTGAACAGCCATTAAATCTTCATTTCTTCTAAGTGGAATTTACAATTTCCTGCCCAAGAAAATAAAATCTTTATAGTATAATAAAAAAATTAAAATATCCTATTCCTGTGACAAATATTTATTATTATCATGCAAACAAAAGTGTCTAATCTGACCCAGAAACTTATATAAAAAATTCTCTCCCTATTTATGAAGACCATTTTAAAACTACTCATTTTGACCACTATAACTGAAATGCTTTATTACTGTGCACAAAATCTTTAAATGTCTTAATACTTACATGAATTTGATCTGTTCATGTGAAATGGGCAAATAAGTCAAAATAAAAGGTTTATAAATCAAATTAAACATCCTCTTACAAAAGACTGAATTAGGAATTCCCACACTATACACAACAGTCATATGGATGAACATTTCTGTTTGAAGGAGGAGAAACGTGTTACGAGATCCAAAATGTTCCTTTTCACAATTACAACGTAACTCCTTCAGTGGATGATGATGGTGTCTGCTTGGAAAGTTCTCATTCAAAATGTAATCACTAATTTTATTTTGATTCTACTTTATGTTTCTTATTAATTTTAATTTATTTTATATTCCTGGAGTGGTGGCTGAGCCTCTGAGAAGCGTCTGCGAAGCACAGTTTTGGATCTGGTGGTCTAAAGCATTTTGCCTCATTTGTGCAACTTCACACAAACATGCATTCTCAGTTTCTGACCATCAAGTAATGCAAGGGAACAAGTCGTGTATGAGCATTAGGGATTATACAGGAATGGTCTTCCCTCTCTTTCTGCTTAAAACATTTCTCATTTACATATTCTGGTAGAGT